CCTGACAAAAACTTTAAAAACTGGGGCGATATTTGCCTTGCCTGTGTAGCATTGTGGGGCTTTCTGAATAAATTACAGTTAATACAGCAACATTTTTTTTTTTTTTTACATCAAACACAAAATTGTTTTTGAAAGTCTGGTCTTAATCTATTAAAGCCAGGATATTTGGAATAAAGTTAAGGACCTGATCTTGCACCTTTCCCTAGCAAATCCTGTGCTAAGGGGATCAAACTTTGAGCCTATTTTGCATTTGATGTGTATCCAAAGTTCCTATCACCTTCAAATGAAGTTTTAAGTGTTCAAAGGCTTTGAGTGTTCAGGAGAAGTGAAATCCTGGTCTCATTGAAGTCAGTGGGAGTTTTGTCATTGACTTCAATGGGCCAGGATTTCACCACAGCCTTCTTGTTTGGGATTCAGCCCATTTAATGTAGCTAGTACAGCTCAGATGAGGCTTGATTCCGCCAAGTTCTAATGCCATGTGGAGGGGATATAGCCCTAAGGAGTGTCATTGAAAGCAGGAGTGGCAGTATTATCTATTGCTCCTAGGGTTCATGAGCTGAGCATATAAAAGGCCAGATTTTTCATTCCACATGTGTCCCTAACTCTTATTTACCCTACTAGGATTGGGTCCAATGCCTCTTATATCTAGATTCAGAAAGCAAGTTAAAGATGGAATTACAGCAGTTCTTAAACCTTAAACAAACACTGAATAGTTTAATTATTTCTTTAAGATGCAAGTCAGCAAAGGAATTGAGTACCTCCTAAACCAAGCACTCTTCAGTAAAAAATAAGGATGTTTCGCTCTTGTAGCAGCAGGACCCTAATTAGCTAGTGGTCCTGTATCATCTTAAAGTAGAAAAGCAATATATGCTAGTATTTGTTGTTATTTAAAGACTTGCCACGCAATTTGTGTTTAATCAGTTTATACATACAGGTTTTAGCTGTATTGTACAAGTGATCATGCTGGAATAAATCATTGTGAGATTTTTCTCATGTTCCGTTTGAAAAGAAAGGAAATGTTTCAACTCAAGAACAGGATTTCTGACACTTAACACATACTATTTAAGGAATGTTGTTTACTACAAATTTAAAAAAATAAATGCATATAGATTTTTTTAAGAAACAAAACATGGGCTTTGTGTAAAATAAAATCTGTAAATGCATTTTTTTTTAAGTCTTATGGTCAATATTTTCTAAGCAGTACAGGGATTTAGCTACATCTCTCTCATTAGAGATAAAATCCACTGCACTGTTGTGAAAATGCCACCCTATTTCGTTTTTACTTTGTTCATGAGGGTTCTGAATCTGTATTGGGGGGGGGGGGGGAAGGGGAAGGATGTTGCTGTATGTTTGTGTATGCATGTGCATGTCTCTTCATGCATGCACCTTTATGGATCGATCTACTGCGATTCAATAATGTAAATTAATGATCAAGAAATTCATTTTTTTTTTAAATACCTGTTTTCTTACGGAGCATAACACTTTCAAAGTTATGTCTGTCCTTCCAGTGAGTATTTACAGACTTAGATTCGCAAAGTATTTGTCTACTGAGGGGCTTTTTAAAAGGAAAAGAAAAACCTGATTGCTTGCGACTGAGAAGGATGCACTCATTTGAGGCCATTTCAATGGGAAAGATTTAGTTTAAATATTCAGATCGCATAGTCCAAAGGGGGGGGAAAAATCATTACTACAGTTTTAGTGCTTTTTTTCTTTTATCCCCCCCTTCCTCAAACTGATGCCCATGGGCATGAAATATTTCCATTTGCATCTGTGCATAACATTGAGGGCCTCATTCTCTAGTCTTTTACTCAAGCAAAATTCCCATTTAGTGGGGATCAAGCCCAGTGTTAACAACACGCCTTAAAAAAAAAAAAATTACTAAAGAACATTTAAGGGGATTTTGTCCAAGTCATATAACGAAATTATTTCTACAATAATGGGCATACCCAAGGAGGGAGCAGGGGGCAAAGCTCTTCAGAAATACCTGTCAGGGCCAAGGAAGAGAACCAATGTGTGGAGGGTTGATTTAGCAGCATCCAGACAACAGAAAGGAGTTCAGCACCGGCAGAGAACCCGCCCCCCAATTAAGGAGCATGGGATTTAGCACGGAAAGCCTCCGATTTTAGCGCCCGGGTCAATCCCTCTCGATTGAGGCAATCCTGTCTTTTTACGGCTTCTTTTCATTGCACGGGAGGGCGAACACATCCATCCGCAAGCAACGAGAGGAAGCTGCTGCTTTCTCTCTCATTAACTTGTCACATCCGAGGGGCTCGCCCGCGCCTCCCTTCGCGCCCGAGCCCTTGAACGCGAAGAGCCCTCAGCGCCAGGGAAGCAGCAGCCCCGCGCTCAGGCCGCCCCAGCACGGGAGTTTCCCTCTCCTCCGCCACCAGCCCGCCCGCCCCGGCGCTGCGGGGTACACTCCGCTTGCGTGAGGGGGGTACAAGTCACTCCCCCCCGCCCCCCGGCAGATCGCGGAGGAAGCTGCGCGGAGCCGAGCGCCCGCTGCGCCGCTCTCCCGAGTGACTTAGCCGCAAACCCCTTCCCCGCCCC